GAGAGTATGTGGTTAAAAAATAAAGAAAAATTTTGAATTTTCGTATAATATTATTTTCTAGAAAAATATGTAGTTAAAAATAAGAGATAGAAAAATGTATTTTGAAAATAATGAATACCAAATGGGGGTGTATTAAGTTTTTCTTTTTATCTAATTGGTTGTTTGGGATAGCTTAACAAGTTAAGATCAAAGTTTAGAGTTAATTTCAATCACATTTTATGGGATCCACAATTTTTATCAACTTTTCAATATTATATTTTATTAACTTTTATCAAAATCTGCTAAAATTTATATAAAATAACACTTAGATTAGATGACTTGGATATATGTTGGGCCAATATTGGGCTCGTCCATTCTTAGAAAAGTAGTCATATCTATTTGGAAAAATATCATATTTAATAGATTAACTAGGACTCATTTCAAAATTAATAGACAAGGTTTAAAATTTTAAAAATACGATATTAGTAAATTTTAATTAGGAAAAATTGCAGTCACGGTACCAAACCTTTCACTTTTTTGCAGACTTTGCCCAAACATTTAGCAAAAGAAAAGCTTGCTATGCAGAGACTTCGAGAGGCAGCTGAGAAAGCAAAGATAGAGCTTTCTTCAACGTCTATGACTGAAATCAACTTACCTTTTATTATTGGTGATGCATCTGGGGCTAAGCATTTGGATATAACATTGAGTATATCAAAGTTTGAGGCTTTAGTGAATCACTTGATCGAAAGGACTAAGTCTCCTTGCAAGAATTCTTTAAAGGATGCTGGCATTTCAACAAATGAGGTTGATGAAGTTCTCCTTATTGGAGAAATGACCCGTGTTCCTAAAGTCCAAGAAATTGTTTCAGAAATCTTTGGCAAGTCGCAAAGCAAAGGTGTGAATCCTGATGAGGCAGTTGCCATGGGAGCTGCCATTCAGGGTGGTATCCTACGCGGCGATGTGAAAGAGGTGCTTCTCCTGGATGTTACTCTTCTATCTCTTCGTATTGAGACACTAAGAGGCATCTTTACCTGGTTGATCAATAGAAATACCACCATTCCCACAAAGAAAAGTCAAGTAAGCACATGCAATAGTTTATGTACAATTTCCTCGTTTTCCTTCATTGTGATGGCTCATTTTTACGAAAGAGTGAAAGGCTCGTGTACTGAGTTTCTATAAACTTAGCTATACTCGACCCGTTCTTCTCCTTCAACCCCGCTATCGCTGCCGTTCTCATCTGCCCAAAATAAAAAAAGTATCAAAAATTGAAAAATAATTTATGGGTTTTCTTCGTTTACACTTCACTGTACCCCACTATAGATTGAAGGAATTGATTCATTGCAGCTGTATCCAACACCTACCATAGTTTTTCTCTTTCAGATTTTTCCATTTATCTATAATTTCATGGTATATAATTTAAGGAAAATTGCAGTTGAGGTTGTGGTGGTAGGAGGAGGAGGAGGAGGTGACGACAGTCGTGGTGGTGAGAGGAGGAGGCTGTGGTGGTGCCGACAGTTTTGGTTTTGGGTTGGGTGGGGGTGAGGTGAGGTGGGGTGGTTGGAGAAGATAATATGGTTTTTTGATTTAATTATTTTATTTTAGTTCTTTTTTATATGAAAAAAAGAAAAATTACCATTTTGCCCTTTTAAAATTTGGTCAAATTTACTATTCTTGGTCAACTAACGGTCCCATCCATTTGGACTCCAAATGCTACATTTTGAAAGGTTTGGTACCGTGGGTGGCACAAATCAAAAGTTTGGGCAAAGTCTGCAAAAAAGTGAAATGTTTGATACCGTGACTGCGATTTTCCCTTTTAATTATGAAATAAAAATATATTTTATTAATTAAATATATTAAGTTCACAATTCTATACAATTTGATCACAAATTATTCTTCAATCACAAACGAAAAAAATTACAAATCACAAGTTATTTCACTGTCACAAATTAAAAAATTTATAGGTCACAATTTATTTATCAGTCACGATAAATTTTTTTATAGATCACAGTCACAAATTACAAATTTTATAAGTCTCAATTCAAAATTTTAGGTCACAATTTATGTGTCACATGTATTTTTAATCACAAAATATCCAATTTATTAGTTACGATCTCAAATAATTGGTCACAAATACTCTTCATGCCATCACCCACCCAACCTCAATCCACTATGGCACCAACCGAAAGCAGGTCCACCTCACCATCACAATTAATGTCACCATCACCATCATCGCCGCCATCTCCAACAAACTACCATTTTCATTTTCAAAACGACTACTACAACCACCAACAAAATCATCGCCACCAACAAGATCCAACACTGCTTGCCCAAACACCAGATTGCAGACAAAACAATCGTTGCCCAAAAATCAACAAAATTGCCGCCACCACTACCTCACCACACTGCCACCATTGCCACCAACAAGATCCAACAAAATCGTCGCCCAAAAGAACCAACAAATCGGATCAATAAACGCCATCACCTTGCCATCATCAGAATTAGAACGCCACTGGTTGTGCGCGGTCGTGCTAAGATTAGATCCAAAAACTAGAACGTTTGGCGACTTCCGCTGGCTCTACTTCAGCCATCTCTGGCCGCTTCTCAAGCCGCCTTCTTCGTCTTCCCCTTTCCCGCCAACTGTTTCTGCTTGACCTTGCCTTCCTCCAACTCCGAGACTACGTCATGATTGAATGCTCAATGGTACAAAATTAAAGCATATCTACTAATGGTAGCGCCGCCTCTCATGGCACCGTATGTTGCTGCACGTCAACTCTTTTTTTTTCCCTTTGGTGATTGCAGATCGAAGATGTTGACCGGGTGGAGGTGTTGTGAGCCTAACATCGACGATGCTCCAACGATGGCACACTAGAAAAAGAAGAGAGAATGGAAATATAGAGTGGGATTGAAGAGATTTAGAGAGAGAATGAAAAGTAAAAAAAAAATATGATCAGCATTTGAAAATTTTGATAAGATGGAAGGATGTAAGGGTGGGGTATAAAGATTAATTTAATTTTATAATATTACTATTAAATTAAAATATAGAATTATCATCTGATTTTTGTATAAACAAATATTAAATCTGATTTTTGAAATTGAAACTTAAAAATTCTGGTTCTATGTAATTTTTAGTGTCATCTTTCTCTTCTAAATCAAGACCAAGCCTTTTCATTATTTTCCAACAACAAAAGCAGACCCAAATTGACTAAAGAAAAAGTAACAGCTATACAACGGCCCAAATCATGCCCAATATTTTACAAATTTTACAAATTTTGACTTGTGAATTATATTTGGGAAAATTAGGCCCAACGCCCTCTTAAACTAATTAAATTGAATAATACCATTTTAAAATTAATTAAACAATTCTACCCGTAATTAATACGTCTTAAACGTAAAATCCAATTTTCATTTGAGCACAAATCCACTCCTCAACTGGGTGGTAAACTAAAGAAGGGAGTCGGAGGGAAAAGGGCTGGGGGCCCCAAGACAAAGCCAGTTTCTCACTTCATCAAGAGAGGTCTACAGTTTTCGGTTGACAGGATCGGTCGGTACTTGAAGAAAGGTCTCTATTCGTAGCGTGTCGTTACCGGAGCTCCGATTTATATGGCTCCTTGAGTACCTTGCTGCTGAGGTATAAAAACCCATTTCATCACAAGATGTGCACTCATTTCAAATTCCATATGTATTATTGTTGTAAATGTAATTTTTTTGCTGAATAATTATGCACTTTGTGAGTTTTGTTGAATTTTTAGCTTTTTGGTAAGTTAATCGGTACCAATTAATCAGAAAATAATGATAATTGAACTGTACTATTAACACGTGTGTTTGATTTGAGTTGGTTTTCTTGAATTACATGAGCCAATATCTCTCTAATCTCAACTACAGAGTAATATTAAACAAAACATCATCGTAAACACGCAAAATATAGATGAATTTATAATCTTGAAGAAAAAATGTGAATTCATTGAAATTGTGTTCATGTTTTGGAATTGGCTGGCAACGCAGCCAGAGATAACAAGAAAAAATACCAAGGCATGTGCTACTCTCCGTGAGGAATGATGAGGAGCACGGAAAACTTCTAGCCGAAGTGACAATTGCTTATGGAGGAGTTCAACCGAACATCAATCCGGTGCTTCTGCCTAAGAAATATGTGAAAGCTGGGAAGGAGCATGCGAAATCCCCTACCAAGGCAACTAAATCTCCCAAGAAGACCAAATCTTCGTGCTGCAACCGTTGCGCTATCTCCCAAGAAGGCCTAATCTTCGGGCTGCAATCGTTGCGCTATCTCTGAAAATTTAAGTTCAGCATGTGGTTTGTGTGATGCTTCTTTTCCGTTTGATGAAATGTCTAGCTAGGAATTTTCTGTTTTTGCATTGTCAAAGTTCTGATAGTTAAAAAGATTCGATTTGCATATCTGTGGATGGCAAGTTGTTGATTGAATTGATTGTAGTTGAAGCAAAAAAAATGGTTTTATGAAAAATCGAGATGGTATAATTGAAGAGAATGGGAAAGTTGGGTGATTTTGAGGTCTGGGAATGACATGGATGCAAATATTTCTTTTATTGAATTGATTCCAAAGTTTTGATTGGTGTTTTATCACATTTTTTAGTCGTCACTTTATTAAACTGATT